CAGAAACAGAAAGAGAGTGAGAGAAAACGAGAGAGGAAGAAAAAAAAAGAAAGAGACTGAGAGAAGACAAGAGAGAAAGAAAAAGTGAGAAACAAGAAAAGAGCTAGAGAAGACTAGAGAGGAAGAAAATTAGACTGTAACAGAAAGAGAGTATGAAACGGAAAAGATATAGGAGAGAAATTAACGTTTAATTTAACTTTGTCATAACATTAAGAAGACTCTGAATATTATGATTTGATTAACGATTATATATATATATATATATATATATATATATATATATATATATATATATATATATATATGCTTTTTTGTTTCATTTGATAGGCGTCTGCTTCTTACAGTCGAGGTTCTACGCTGAAGAAAATCTGCGAGGCAATTTCAGAGCAAAAATCAAATTCCTTTTAAAAAATAGTTAATGACATTGTTATGATCCAGAATGATGATGATATTTCGTCATTCGAAAAACAACATTGCCACCATTGATGATACATGATAAGGATATTTCATCATCCTGGAAGCTAAGATCAAATATTTCATAGTTCTAAAATCTGAAACTTCATCATTATAAAAACGACCCTTCTACTATAAGTGAGGTTAGTAAAGTAGCAGTAGTAAAAAGGAACACAACACATTGTATCACCATCGCTTCGAAAAATCGAAAGTTGACGATCTCAAACGCTATTCTTAACAACGAAATTCTCAGAACAAACAAAAACAAGTAAGCACAAGCTTTTAAAGAAACAAAAGAGACAATAACACTGAGGACATTTTTAACATACGCTTCGTGATTTTTTTGGTCAACATAAAATCCAGTCATCACGTTTAGTAATTGAACCTCTTCACAACAACGTTACATCGAAGTTTGACAAAGGATTTGTCTTTACACGCTTACAAAATCCAATTGACACAAGAACTGAAACCTGTAGACCAATTGGAGCATCGTACATTCGTCAGTTGGGTGCACGAGCAAAGACAAACCGATGAAAATTTTTCGCAAAAAATCCTCTTTAGTGATGAAGTCTATTTTCATCCTAATGGATTCGTTAATAAGTAGAATTGTCGAATTTTGGGTTGATGAAAATCCAAGGAAGATTGTTGAAAAGCCATTTGCACCCACAAAAGGTCACTGTTTGGTGTGCATTTTTTTGCTAGCGGAATCATTGGGCCGTATATTTATAAATTTGAACGTCCATTTTCGTAATAGGCTTCGATAACCTTAACACGTTGTTTGATTGATAATCTTTCTATGTTTGAAATCGCCAAAGACTTAAGCAAAAGAAAAAATCATTAGACGGTTGAATTTAATTCACATTTAAAATCGTTTCAAGTTATTGGAACGCCCTCTATAAAGCCCCATGAATAGAAAAAATAAATACATAAAAATAAATCCCGTCGGTAGAACTTTGGCCGTTATTGTTTTCTGTTTCTTCAAAAGGTTTAATTGATTGATTTAATTTTTTAAGGTTTATCAACCCTTTACAGGTTATTTAAAAATATTTTTAGATTTACATTTTTTTTTAGATAATAATGATTTCGTGATAAAAATCTTATTAATTAATCTATATCTGGGGGAAAAGAGATGGATTCATTAACATTCTTAAGGGTATTTGCACGTAAGTGCCTTTAACGAACCCAATTGGAATTAGAACCCGACTCCCCGATTAACAATACCGAGGCGTTATCCATCACATCACATACACATCTAAGTTTACAGCAGCTGGTATTCCCAAGTAGTCACTCATCAAATCAAGGTACTGATCAGGCTAGACATTGCTTAACTTCGGTGATCATACAGGAACCCTTGTTTCAAAGATGGCGGTAAATCTTCTTCGAAAAGAATCTGAATAAAAGATTAAATAAAACTGACTTATACTGCATTTAGAGTGTGCATATCGAATTACAGAATACAGAAAGGATTTTCGAATTTGTTTTCTGTCCAGTAACCTACTGTATTTTTTTTACAGTGATGTTCACCCTTTACAAGCACCGAGAGGCATTTGAGGTGGAGTAACAGGCACAGTTTATGCGGATATGTGGGGCAGATAACAGTTAACCCTAGACATGAACGGGTTACCACATTGGGTCCTAAGCCTTATTTCACTTTTTGTCCCAACACTATATCATAATTAATTTTGATACCGGCCACATTGTTTTAATATTGTTTCATATATGAGGCAAGATAGTATTTATTACCCACGACCCACCCGAGGGTCGTGTGGTCCTTGCAGACATACCAGCACGACACTCCGGTCTTTCGTGTGTTATGATTGTAGTAATCAGGACAACATCCTCCTGGGAGCCGGTTCCACAGAGCAGCGGTTCGTGGGAAGAAGCTATTAGAGTGGAACTTCTCACCAATGGAACGCGATGGGAATCAGGGTGATACCTGAGTTCGTTTTATAACCCAGAGCCCCATATGACACACACACATGGTTCGTTGGAAAATTCCCAATATATAAGTATTACATTGACACTAACTCTCACTTTCTATATTAAAAAATATTTGAATTGTTTTGGAAAAAAATGTGGTTCTGGTGTACCATGATCTCATAAATAATTAACCATAGCATCCCATTCCCAATAATCGTCATACAAAAGAAATTAGAAAACGACCCATCCCGAGGGTCGTATGCTCCTTGCAGATATATCAGCACGACACTCCGGTGGGTCGTGTGTTAAGACTGTAGTAATCGGGACAACATCCTCCTGGGAGTCGTTTCCACAGAGCAGCGGTTTGTGGAAAGATGCTGTAAGAGCGGAACTTCTTACCAATGGAAAATTTAGGCAGCATGGTGGATCTTAGCCGTGAAGGTTAGAACTGTTGGAACTAAGGAATCTAGTTCGTCTGAGCACTTTCCATGGAAATATCGATAGATCCGTGAGAGGCTTACGACGTTCATCTGTAGAGAAAGAGGTGGTAGGGGGGGGGGAAATAATTTATAAACATTTAGAAATAAATTAGAACTATTACAAATAGTGCAAAAACGCCATGAAAGCTATCTGAATCCGGTTGGCACAAATCCATTACATGCTTGGCACGCCTGAAATAGCGATCAATTGCAACGCAGTTACAGTTCTTGGGTATACCGCTAAACTGCATCGTGTTAGCAAGACCTCTGATCGGAAGTTTGGAATTTTTGAGCAGCGTAGAACTACCTCTTAATTGCTGTTGTTCCCAAGTTCAGCTTGACCTGAGGTGGTAGCACCTGTTAGGGGTCCCAGCTATGGGCAAATAGTGAACCCCAAAGTCACCATAAAAGCATAAAAATTACATTTTATAGTAAAAATACCAGTAATACAATTTTATATAGTAAAATTATCAACAGTACATATTTGTAGTAAAATTACTAACATTTCTAAAGCCAAATGACCAACAATACATTTTATAGTAGAATGATCAACAATAGATTTTATCTGTAGTTGAAGGCATAAAATTTTGAAAGAAAGTTAAAGAGTGTTTAGCTATCTGTGTATGTGTTTATGCAAGAGACGCAATATGTGTATATCGACGGGTGTTGATACGAGAGAATGTGTGTGTATGCATGTGTTTATGTGTATGCGAGAAAAGAGACAACGAGCCTGAGTGTGCGAATACGAGAGGGTGTGTATATGTATGACTGTACTTGCGTATGTTCATGTGGCTGTATATAAAAGAGAGAGAGAAAGAGAGAGAAGGGTAAAGAAAGTGAGATTTAGATTTCGGTATTAAATAACCCATAGAGTTTGGTATGCTGCTAATCAACCAAGCAACTCACTTAGCGACCAGCTCGTTTAGCGATAAGATAATTGGAACGTAACCTGGTCGATAAGTGAAGAGTGGCTGTATTTTATTATTTTTTCTAGTTAACAGTAGGAAAAAACGAGTTTAAAAAACGTTTTCCGCTCGAATTTAAGGAATCATATAATAGTCAGTGTTTTCTTTTTCTTTATCTTTTTACTCGGCACATATGTCTTCAACATTCGTCTGATAATTAAAACAGTTAATTAGGTAATTAATTTGATTTAGATATCCCCAATTTGTAATTTGCATGTTGGGCTGTTCCTTTTGCTAACAGCCATGCATTCCGTCTTCTTGTTGTTCATTGCCATATAGGCGGACTGATATTACGTAACAGATCAGTATTCTTTTCTTTGTAACGAAATTTTAGTAGAAGCGTAATATGAATAATATAGTGGAATAAGAGACATTATGTTGTACATAAAATAAGCTTTGGAGTAAATATCTGTAAAAAAAAAAAGAAAAATACATTTTATATGCTCTATTATATTAAAACAATATTATCAATTTTTAATACAAAACTTTCACCAAATCCAAAGCTTGACAATCATTCAAAATAGTGAATTACATTGAAAATCGTATAATGTTTATGGTGTTTAATAATATTGTGGCGTCATTAATAGTTTTACATGTATACATGAAATAAGCTTTGACTTAAATGAAAACGACAAAAAATAAACATTTTGAAGGCTCTCTCTAATACTGTTATCTAAGTAGTTATTAAAACTGTACAATGTTTGGGAAATCTTAGAAATGTATGAAAGTCTTAATCTTTTATTATTCTTTGTTAAATTAGTGAATCGTAGGAAAACTCAAGTTTGAAAAATGAGTTCCGCTCGAATTTAAGGAAAAGCAAATAATGGTCGGTATTTTCTTTTCCATTATCTTTTTACTAGGCATTTTCAACATTTGGTTGATAATGAAAACATCTAATTAATTAATCTACACTTATTCTAGTTAGAATTCCACACTACCTTACACAAAAGGTTAGGATGGAAACTCCCACATCAATACTAGAAATCGATAACAGTGGACTTGAGACGTCTATTTTCCTGAAAAACACTTTTAAGAAAAAGATTTTAACAATTTCAACCTAATGTAACGGCTAATTTTAATATTCAGTCAGTCATTTAAGTGCCATACGCGATACACTCTTGGGCGACCATGTCTCATTCGTTTCATGACTGAATAGGCAGGTGGTATTCCCACAGTATACAGTCGTTTCTTTCTGCTGTAGACTATCCAAGGTTATAAGCCCCAGTCTGTTCTGCTATTCAGCCCGTAGTTAGGGTCAAGTATGAAGAGATAGATTTGTATCTTTCCCAAGAGTATTTGCACGTAAGCGAATCTAACGAGCCCGACTGGAATTCGAACTCAGATTTCTGATTTCTTACTCCGATCTGTTATCCATTACACATTTGCATTATTTCATTTTAACTTTTTAGTATGTGCTCTCTATCTTGTGATTGTAGTTTTTGACAAATTCTTTTTTCTTTACACTTTTCTTGACCAGATCATCACCTGTGTTTTCTTGAATTGACGATTTGTTGCATTTCTTTTTTTTTTGTTTGTGATGGGTTCATGCCTTCTAAGAAGAGAGCACGAGAAAAGGTTCGGCTACACTTGGGCGGGTGAAGTAATTATGACAAGGTGATTTGTTCAATTTCTTAGTCTTTGACTCTTTAACCATCTTGCCATGATATTGATAAGATATTTTGTAAGGATAATTAACGATGTGACAAAGAATAGGGGCCCTTAAGTTCATGCCTTTCACAAATGTATTAAAAAAAGAAGATTCTCATAAGGCCCTATCGATTGGCGATAAAAAATCATAAACGAAGAATTTTACCATATATCCAAAGCCAATACACTTGAAGACTTCCAACAGCAGCACCGTAAGTTCTATGCTAACAGCTTCTTTTCTCGCAATTCTCGCTTGTGGAACTCCCTTCTGGCTCTACGCTTTCCAGCCAACTTTAATCAGCAAAAATTTAAATGCAGTGTCAATCGCTATACTGCCCTCCAGATTACTCTTCCTCTGTTCTCGCTCCTTAATGGTATTTCTGTTTTCCAATTCTTACACACCCAGTAACCCCTTGTATCTTAGTGTCTTTAATGCCTTGCTCGGGGTGAACTTGAGTAAACACCCCCCCAAAGATCTGTAATTAGAAGAGAAAATAACGATATAATCAAGTTGTTAACTTTCCAGACAAAGACAAAAGGATTGGAAGGAAACTGCCATCTCTATTATAAAATGCTATAAAAGATTATAGGCTTGTGAATTCTAATTTCCTGAAAAATATTTTTTTACAATGGTGTTCACCCCTGTACAAGCCCCCAAAGCCACTCAAAGTAGAGGGTTATAAAGAGCTTACATAGTTTATGGGGCTATGTGGGGAAGATAACGTTTAACCTTAGATTTGAAAAGGTTAAGGTTCTAGTGATCGTGGAAGAATCCTTTTGGGAGTCATTTTCCCCGAAACATGGAAAACGAAGATGGTTCACTACAATGTCCGTGTCATGAGGGGTTTTTAGCCGTGAAGGTTTGAACTGGTGGAATGTAATTCGTCAGGACCCTTTCCATGGAAATATATATTTAGAAACACTTGATAAAATCTAAAGAAGAATCTGCAATGTTATTGGTACTGACCTGGCATCTCGCTTTCAGTCACTTTCCCACGGCCGTAACGTAACGTCCTTGTACCTTTTCTATAAATACTTTCATGGAAATTGCTCCGATGAACTTTTCTCTGTGGTAACTTGATTTTATGAATTTATGAATTTCAGCGCAGTACTAGATTGGCGGCAAGGTCTCATCAATTTACAGTTGAAATGGCTAAGATGTATATTCTTTGCTAACAGTTTCTTCTATCGCACTTCTTGCCTATGGAACTCTCTTCTGGCTTTCTTGCCACCCAGTCAACTTTGATCTTCAAAAATTTTAAATGCAATGTCAGTCGTTATATTCTGTGTTCATAATTCATGTTCTTTTATTGTTCTCTCTTTAACAGTATTTTTCTCATATTTTCTAACAGTCAGTAACCTACTTGCGTCTTAGTGGCTTTATTACCTTGTTTGGGGTGAAATGATTGAAAAAATTGCGATAGAGCAGCGGGAAACTTACGAAGTTTCGTCTGTGGGAAACTGTTTCAATAAAAATATTTTATACATTTAAACCGACTCGCCGAGTATGGGTACGCTTATTTTACTATTTCCATGTGTTGGTGTCATTTTCAGGTAAAATTTTTACTATCTGTATGGTGGAATAATGTATGAAAATGTTTTGTTTTTGTATATACTGAATACTTTGAAAAGTATGGTAATTTTAGAAAAATATATAGTTGTGTTTGTTTACTTATCCAGTATTTGTCTTGCTTTTTAGTGAACCGGACGACAGGTGAATCTGTCTACTCCTTTTAAGTTGAAATTCTAATCAACCTCATTACGGTGGGCATCTAATTAAAAAAAAGAAAGCAATTTACTAAAGACTAAAGTGTAAGGAAAGTGTTTTAATCACTGGATCATTCACAATAAATTTACGTCCACGTTCTTACTACGTTTTCCCTGGTAGATCTACAATTATCACAATATGGGACGCTTAATAACAAAAATGATAAAAACTTACACGAAAAGAAAATAGAAAATGAATGAAATTGGTTCAGCGTTTTGTAACCCTTTTTTTATTTACTGTCAGCCACAGCAAGAACCGCATTTTGCATCGCGACACCTTACACCAATGTGTAATAAATCAAAGACAAACTAGGTTAATTTATTTAGCATCGACATTTTATATGTATATTTCTTATGATCCGCACATATTGGAATTGCATCTATTTGTATTATCGATTTGTTGGAGTATAAAATTATTACTAAAAAAAAACCCCAAATATTAAGGAAATTCCGATGCAAAGGTAAAGTAAATCAAATTTGAAAAAAGATGTCATTTAATGAGATCGATGTGTTTGTTCATAAGCAGATGATTCCCATTGGGAACACAGGAAGACAATGCTACATGCATATCAGGTCCAGTTTTGAGCCTGTTTCCGTTCTTCGTTTTAAATTGTTAACGTGGAAAATCCCAGTTCACTCAAGTAAGTAGTTGTAAAAGGCAATATTAATAAGACAGCCTTTTTACTCAGTAGTGGAAACTCAAAACAAGATACATAAACCCAATGAGAACAGACTCAGACTCAGACTCTCTCTCTCTCTCTCTCTCTCTATATATATATATATATATATATATATGAATGGGTAGGACAAAAATGTACATACACGCACAAATACTTGCACGTACGTAGTATATTTATTCATAAGGTGTTATAGAGTGCTCAATGTTATGAAACAGAGCTATAAGTATATATTAGTGAATATACATAATATCCAACAATCCTTGCATTAACTGCATGAAACTCAGAGTAGTGTTATCGACGTTGGATATTGTGCATATTTACTATATATATATATATATATATATATATATATATATATATATATATATATATATACACTTTGGGGAAAAACTAACGATGATTTATGAGTGCTGTGCAACATTTAGAGTTCTTCATATTCTGCACTTTGATATAATTTGCGTAATTTATTTTCTTTCTTTCTTTATTGTTACGACCCATTATATTTATCTCGTGACCCAATGAAAGGCCAGGACCCATAGTTTGAAAAAGCCTAGAGATTATATACCAAACAAATATGAAAAAAAAAGAAAAAAAAGATTAAAATTTCAGCATCTCTTCTCTTCATGCGCATGTGTAGCTATCTCAATATAAACATCCCTTTAGTCTGATGATTTGTTAAACTCCCGTGGCCGAATTGGTAGAAGCACATTTTGGCTTAAAAAATGCTACCCTTGAGGCAAGGATACAGATTCGATTTTACACAATTTTTCTTTGGTAATATTTCTTATTCTAGGCCGGTTGTTATTAATCTCACCGACGTGACATGGCTTCCCTCTGTCTTTTCTACAAGTATTTTCATGGCAACTGCTCTGACGAGCTTTTTTTACCCCTTGTGCCCTGACTACATAAATTTAAGCGTGCTACTAGATTGGCAAATATGTCTCACCGTTTTATTGTTGAAATAACTAAATTCAACGACCACTTCTATTTGAACAATTTCTTTTCTCGTACTCCCCACTTGTGGAACTCTCAAACAATGTCTAGTTTCCCTGATAACTAGAATCTTCAAAAATTTTAAATGCAACGTTAATCGCCATCTTCTGTATTCTTGAACACTTCACGTTAACAGCAGCAAGAAAACTGGCGCGATCAAGTTACGTGGCCATTATAATACCAACTATAATTACGCATTAGCAGAACGCAGTGTGACAGACCTAAAGATATTTTATGGCAAAAATACAGATAATTTTCGAGTTACTTTTGTATTCTCTGGAGCGATACAAGGAACAGACTATTCTTCCTGCCTCTTTAGTAATGGAACGAATATACGTGTTTCATTCGAGGTCTGGAGTGACCGTTAGATCCCATACGTGTTTGAGGCAAGGAACCTCATTGCGGTTATGGCCGCTAGTCATATCGAAGAATGGAAGGCATCTTTCTATATTCAAATGCATCTTCGGATTTCTGTGTTACATTATCCATCGTCTGTTACTACTCTACCCAGATAAATACATTTCTGTATTTGTTTGATTTTAACATCCTGAATATGTAGTTCATATCTTCGGATGTCTCTTTTGCTAAAAAATTATGCCTTACATCTTCTTGCAGCTAATACTTAGTCCTTTCTTCTTGCTTTCCTTTACTACGTTATCTAAGTGTTCTTTCAGATTTCTATCTGACTCTGCAATCAAGTAGTGGCATTCGCATACTTTATAATGTGAAAATTCTGTCCGACGATAATACATCCTGATAGGAATCCTACTTAGGATCATCTTGCTGCATTGGTTAATTAGATTCGACGAGAAAAGATTCGCTTTCTCGAGTATTTTTTTGTTTTTTGTTTGGTACTATTGTGGTCACGTATTTTCTGAGGCGATACAAGAAATGGACCATTCTTCAAGCATCTTTTGTAATTGTACGAATATACGTGTTCCATTTGAAGACTGGAGTGAGTTTTAGATGTAACACGAAGGAGTTTATGACTGCTCATCAGGATTGGAGCGAATTTAGGGCCTGTTCAATGGTGATTAAAACTATCTTTGTTTTGGGTGTATTAAATGATACAAGCCAGTCCAGCTATGAGGTAAGAAGAGAGATCAGCTGCCAGGCACTGGTGATACAGATATTTGGAGATACACCCATATACTGTGGAATCATTCCTATAAATATTTACTAAAGAACTGAATGCTTTTAAGCAGACAAATAGTTGATAAGAAAACGAAGCAATCTATCAAAAACGTACAATGGAAACGACCTAGCTTCAAAGTTAGTGACTCTCTCTTGTCGACTCTCTGCCTTCGGACAGAGAGGAACTCAGACGAGGCTATGCCTACGGGCAGAGTCTCGTCTGTAGAGGTAGACAGCCACCCGACTCCGTGTATGTGGGGTCGACAGGGAATTTTTGCCTGAGCGTGCGCGCTCGGAAAGCCCTACTTTAAAACCAGTTTTGTGACATGAGATGATCAGCTGTTTACAAGGTAAAAAAAGCCCGAAATTACCATGGGAATCCATTTTGAAAGTCTGGCTTCGGGTCTCGCTGACCTGTACTTGAACACGATATTTATTCATCATATTAGCACTAAGGCTGTTGAAGTTGATAGCATCTCTGATCACACCACTGCTCCGTTACAAATAGATCAGTTATCGGCTGTTATCGCTCCAACTGGACAACTCTCTTCTGTATTTCAATATTCATGTTCCATAACATCGCAACAGCGGCGTTCGAAGAGGTCGGAAGACGCGTTTATTGGCTGTTCAATTCAATTTCGCCCCAGAGCTTGTGTGAAAAATCAAGTAATTACTTGGTTTTAGCGTTTCCAGAAATCGAATTAGGATTGGGATACTGAAATTATTTATTTATTTATATTACGGGATCGAATAATAAATAACAACAACGGAGATACGGGAGAGCATTATAGCTTCTTCGTCTATCTGCTGTGTACATTCAGGACGCTGTTGATCATGGCTCTCCACAATTTCCAGTCTTCTTAATAATTTTTTCTCTTTTTGTCATCTCTCCTAAAGCTTGTTCCGTCATCCATTTACTCAAGTTAGTTACGTAGGTTATGTGTCGTTTTCCTCTGACCTATTTACTTTCAATCTGTCCTGTGAGTATCAAATTTTCCAAGCTCTCTTTCCTCATTGGTTACACTAGAAATTTCAACTGTCTTCTGATGTTAAGTATAAGTGTCCGTGTTTGTTTTTATTTTCTCTAAAACCTCGTCGTTGCTCACATGTTCGGTCCATGGTATTCTCAGTATCCTACTGTAGAACACGATTTCTATTGCTTCACATCTCTTCTTCGATTATGAGGAGATTGTCCTGCATTTACTGCCATATTGGGGGACTGATTTTACGTAACAATCCAGTGCTTTTTATTTTGTTTCTAACGAAATTTCCTGTTTCTTATTACTCTGCTTAGCTTTTGGAAGGCACTTTTACTATCCCAATGCGTCTTCGGATATCAGTATATGTTGTGGAGTAGTTAAACACCTCCACAAAATGGACTGGTCTAATACTATTTAAACAACACTCTCTCTTACTGACGTGTTAACGATTAATCGTTACTCTGCTTGTCGACTCTCTGCCTTCGGACGGAGAGGAACTTAAACGAGGCTATGCCTTCGTCTGTAGAGTTAGACAGCCACCCGACCCAGTGTATATGAAAGAATTTTTGCCTGAGCTTGCGCTCTCGGAAAGCCCTACGTTAAAACCGGTCTTGTGCCACATCCCGACTTGTGGGGAGGTTTCGGGTAAATACTGAAGAGTTAAAGATTAACTGTTTATTACATTAATCTGTGTTCTCAACCCTGTACCATAATATTCGCCGGAATAAACTACTACTTATTTTCTATATGTGTATCAATATTTTCTTTTTACGATGCAACAGTATCGCAATTTCCGCTCTCTGTTAAAACAAATTTTTAAAGCAAGTTCACACCAAGCAAAGCAGTAAAGAGGTTATTGGGTGGGGATGAATTTAGAAAACAGAAATAAAACAATAGTAATCAGGAGGACAGTAGATAGCGATTGATATTGCATTTAGATTTTTGCAGATTAAAGTTTACTGGAAAGCATAGAGAAGGAAAGGAGTTCCAGAAGCGAGAAAAGAAATTGTTAGCATAGAACGTACGGTTATATCTAGTCAACTGTAACTTAATAAAACCTCGTCGCCAGTCGAGGTATCATAGCGAAGAACGCATTCAAACAATTCACCTTGAAAGTATTTATAGAAAAGTCACAGGGAGGCAACTCTACGCCGGTGGGAAAGTGACTGAAACTGAGTTGTTTGATTTTGGTATCTCCATTGTGTAATCTGCCTGTTGGACTGTCTCTTTTGTTAACAACCTAGCCAAGTGAATGATGCCTCATCATTATTGATGTATTTCAACCCGCGGTCACAAAGCCATAAGGAGCAAAACTCCTGCTTCGTCAGATTGAGCTTGTCCATCAAACTATTACGACCCAGACCACTAATTAGCACTTTATATAATGCCTTCCGGGACAACGGCCGCTTCTCAGAGCGGCCAGTCTTGAAACATTAAAAAAAAAAACAACCTTAAAGCAATTCGACATAAGAATGCTACAGG